TGTAAATGTTAAAAATTCAACTTTGAGCAGGGGTAGGGGTGATGTTGAATTGTCTCTAAGCCGAGCACTTTGGAAGCTGAGGCAGATGGACTTCTGAGTTTGAGGCCAGCCTGGTCTACATAGTGAGTTCCAGGACAGCTAGGGCTACACAGAAAAACCCTGTCTTGAAAACAAACAAAAAACAAAACTAACCAAACAAAAATATTAACATATGAAGACCAGGCATGATGAGACACCTTTAATCCCCACACTTGGGAGGCAGAGGCCAGCCTGATTATACAGCTGAGTTCCAGGACAGTTGGAGCTACATAGTAAGACCATGTCTGGTATGTGGTGTGGGGAGGACCCCAATTCCTGGCCCAAGGTAAATTCTCCCCCCCGCCCCAAGACAGGGTTTCTCTGTGTAGCCTTGACGTCCTGGAATTGCTTTGTAGACAGACCTGCCTCTGCCTCTCTGAGTGCTGTGTTTATAGGCGTGCACTTCCACACCCAGCTAAACTCTAACTTTCCAAATGAAACTGAAAATACTGTTTTTGGAGAACAAGACTAGGAATACATCATAGAGCTATAACTTAAAAAATAACTGCAGCTGGGTATAGTGTCACATGTCTGTAATCCTAGTACTCCAGAGTCTGAGGCAAGAGGATTGAGGTCTCAAAGATAGCCTCAGAGAAAGAACAAACAAACAAACAAACAAATAAGGGGGAGAAAGAATGAAAGAAAAGGAAAATCCAAAATGTTAAAATTACTAAGTGAAACAGAAAAATGACATAATTCTAAGTAGAGTGTTTATGCCAATAAATAAAACTGAGTTGAAAGTACATTGTGAATTAAAGATTGTGTTTAGGAACTGGTTAAGAGCACTTGCTGCTTTTCCAAAGAACTTGGTTCCCAGAATTAATGTTGGTGGCTAACAACTGCCTGTAATTCCAGCCAATACCTTCTTCAGGCTTCTGTAGCACCCGCACACTTGCATACACACCACTTAAAGGAACCAAACCAAAACAAGACTGCCTTTAAAATGATTTTGGTATCAAAGCCAAGTCCCCAGCATAGAATTTTAGTTTTAGGTAAGGTTTGGGGCATGGAAATCTGGCTCTGTGGGTAGGATGCTTGTCCGGCATGCACAAACCCTGGGTTCCATCCCCAATACTGCAAAAGCACCAAGGTAAGATACATCTGCAATCCCAGCACTTGAAATTCAAGGTCATCCTTGGCTACACAGCAAGTTGAGGCTACCTAAGGATATAAGATTGTGTTAAAAAAAAAAAAAAGTTAACAGTATAAATTCCCTAATAGTCTGGTATGTCTGCCAAACTAAATGCCAGATTTTTTTTTTAGGATTAGTTTTTAGGCTCTATTGCCACCTAGTGGCATATTGTTATTTTGAGATGATGGCTTATTAAGGTTTTTATTGCTGTGATGAAACACCATGACTAAGGCAAATTGGGGAGAAAGGGCTTATTTCTTTACAGTTCCAAATCAAAATTCATTGAAGGAAATCAGGGCAGGACCTCAAGGCAGGAACCTGGAAGCAGGCGCTGATGCAGAGGATATGGAGGGTGCCACTTAGTGGCTTGCTCAGCCTTTCTATTAACCCAGGACCACTAGACCAGGGATGACATCACCCCCAATGGGCTGGGCCCGCCCCATCAATTACTAATTAAGAAAATGCCTGGCAGGTTTTTTTGCTCACAACCTTATCTTAGGGAGACATTTTCTCGATTGAGGTTTTCTCCTCTCAGCTGACTGTAGTTTGTGTCGAATATATATAAAACTAGCCAGCACAAATCTGAATAAGAAATCTTGGCCGACTTTTGGGGTAACTGTCCCAAACCCCATTTCCATGCCAACTTCAGAGTAATCAGTTCTCATCCACAAGGCTTGTGTGTCTTTCCTTTCCATTGCTAAGAATAATACAACAGGGGCTGGAGAGATGGTTCAGTGGTTAAGAGTACTGTCTGCTTTTCCAGAGGTCCTGAGTTCAATTCCCAGCAGCCATATGGTGGCTCACAACCATCTATGCTGGGAGCTGATGCCCTCTTCTGGCATGCAGTGTACAAGCAGATAGAGCACTCATATACATAAAACAAATAAATAAATCTTAAGAATGTCTCTATGTGAGGCACTTTATTAATGACTGATATATTATTAATGACTGTGGATGGTGTTACCTCTGGACAAATTGTATATAAAAATAATACAGCAGGAGTTTGTCCCACGGAGACAAGGCCTTGCGCCAGTTTAATTGGGAACCATTCATTTACAGTGCTCAATTTCCTTTCTTGAATAAGAATAGTAACATTGACTTCATATAATAGTTCTCATTAAACCAGTTAGGCCCTAGGAAGATGGTTTGGTGGGAAAGTGTTCCACTTTGCAAAAATAAAAATGAGTACAGACTGCCAGAACTCACATAAAAAGATAGGGGTGGAGCAGGGTGTGGTAGCCCACGCCTGTAATCCCAGCATTTGGGGAGGCAGAGCCAGGCTGATCTCTGTGAGTTCAAGGCCAGCCTGGTCTATATAGTCTGGGACAGTGGGACAACCAAGGCTACACAAAGAAACCCTGTCTCGAAAAGCCAAGACAGGTAGTTTCTGGGGACTCACTGGCAGCCGGCAGCCAGTCTATCTAATGGTGAGCTCCAGGTTCACAAAAACAAGCTCAAAAAATACAAGTGAGGGCTGGATGAAAAAGTGCTTACTTTTTTCATCCGCAGTCTCAAGAACTGAGTTCAATCCCAAATCCAAATAGGAAGCTGTATGTATGCAGTGGTGCTCATTTGTAACCCCAGCACTCACACAGTGAAATAAATGGGTGGCAGAGAAGGAGAGTCACCTATCAGCCTGTAGGCCAGCCAGCCTACACACAGCACAAGAAACAAGGGAAACCATGACTTAGGAAGGAAAGAACTAATTCCTCAGTTGTTTGCTCACCATGCAGAAAGGAAAAGCAAGCAGTTAAGATACTTAAAGTGATGTATATGACAATAATTTTTAAAAATTAAGAGATGAAGTGCTTGCAATAGTATCTGACACAAATACTAAATGGTGTAAACCACTAAAATTATAATACACTTCTTTATCATGCAAGAGTATGGGAACCCAAAGGTTCAAAGTCTTGCATACTACTTTAATTTTTTTCTTTTTGATAAGGTCTCCTGAATAACAAGCCAGTCTTAATTCACTATACAGCTAGGATGACCCTGAACTTCAAATCCTCCTGCCTCCATAAAGTACCACCACGATCAATTTTCAGTGCTGGGAATGCACCTCAGTGATTCAAGCATGACAAACAAGCACACCACAAACCTAGCTTATTTTGCTTTTCCTTTTTGAAACAGATTCTACATAACCCAGGCTGCCCTCAAAATGCTTCATTCTTCTACCTCCGATACTGTGTAGCACCATAACCAGCAGTGGAAAACCAGATTCAGTTCATGGTCACAATAAAGCATTTCTACTGTGATACACTGTGGTATCAGAGCTGAGTTGTTACAGTAAATGCTTCACTGTCATTACCTTGTGATTGTGGCTCCAGTGTTAAATTGTGACATTATAACTGTGATACAGTGGTACATGTGGAGTACCATATTGCCATCAGTGAACATTCTGACCTCAAGCCCGAGACATCACAATGCCACAACACAATGGAGCCTTGCATTATCTCCACTGACCTTTGTAACATCAAAATGGGTCCTACAGTCACATGTGGGTGTTGTGATGGCATAACTGCACAATCAACAGTAAAAACTGTTAGATTTGATACTGATGGGTAGTTTGCCTGTGTGTTTGTCTACAGAGTTGGGCCTGGTGTCCTTGCCCAGAAGAGGATGTTGGGAACTGGAGTTACAGTCAATTGTGAGCTGTCATGTGGGTGCTGGGAATTAAGCCTTTGAAGAGCAGGTGCTAATAACCTGAGCCATCCCTCCGGCTTCCTTTTTTTGAGCTCAGGCAAGTGTAAATGCTCATTTCAGTTTTTGTAGATGTGACATCTCTTAGATCTAGGTCTTTTCCTAGTATCCAAATCAGCGGCAAACATACACCTGTTGATGTCCATGTATAGTCAGATACAATCAAGTACAGATGTCACTCCTTAAACACAATCTCAATGCCTGCAGATGTCTAGGTGCTGAGGCCATAAGGATATTACAAGTATTGGAAGTCACTGTTACTTTGAGTCAATTGTTAGTCATCAAAAACTACTTCATAGGGTTGAGGATACAGCTCAGTGGTAGAGTGCACAGGGCTTAGGTTCAGTCCCCAGTAAGGGGGCAGAGATGCCAGGCAGGGTGGTTCATACCCAGAGGCAGACGCAGGAGGGTCAAGTAATTATCAGTGAGTCTGGAATACACAAGACTGTCCCAACAAACTAAAAATGGGACTGGGAAGAAGATACAGTAAATTACCTATCTCTCAAGCATGAGGACCTAAGTATGATCTTTAGAACCCATGTAAAGAACCAGGCTTGGTGGTGCACCCCTCAACAGAGAAGAGAGATCTCAGGGGCTTGCTGGCCAGTTCTGTCTCAAATGGTTGTTCTATATATGTGCCATGGCCTGTGTGTTTCTTCCTCCCCTAACATCACAGACATACACACATAAGTTAAAGTGACTGAAGAAAGTCCGGCTTACACACATATATATGGCACAGGCATTTAAGCTGTGACATTCTGACTTGACTCTAAGTCATATTCATTAGCTCAGACTAGTCTGTAGGTAAAGCTAAGTTCTAAAGTCTCAAGTGTCTGCTGGTGAATGGGAAAGGCTCTCACACTGAGAAATGTTCACCTGGGTCCTGAATTCACTGCCAGGTCATCAAGGTGCTATGTGCTGTGGTCTGAAATCAGAGTCACACCTTTAATATCAGTAGGTGGGAGGCAGTGGCAGGTGGATCTCTACCTCAGTTTGAAGGCAGCCTGGTCTACAGAGTGAGTTCCAGGATAGCCAGGGCTACAGAGAGAAACCATGTTTTGAAAACTAAAAAAAAAAAAAAGGCCTATTTCAAATGAATGACAGAAGACACTTTATCTCCCCTTAATGCACACACGCCAGACCATGTACACCCCAACAGGATGAAAAGAATGCTTACTCGTGATTGATAGGTATATTCAATAAACCTGAATTAGCAATACAAAAGCACAGAAACTTAAAGCCAGAAAACTTTGGTCACTATGTGAATCTTGAAGACAACTGCTGAAACTGATTTGTTAAGCCTATACACTAGCTTACCTGCAATTAACTATGGGTGAAAACAAGTCATTCTGGACTCATCAGCACTTGAACGCATGTAAAAAGCTGTACTCTATATTCACACCTGGACTGCCTTCTCTGTATTTAACTTCCAGTTTCAAATGCCTGAGGCTGAAGCCTGAAATAGTCCTTTGGGTTTTATGTGCACACCACCACACAGACAGTCAAAGACTGCTGGTGGTATCTAAGCCTGTAGTTTCACATAGACAGAGAAAACTAAGGGAGCTATAACGCCTGAATACAAATTCAGGTCAAAGGAGACAAGTTCCTGGTGGCTGTCCTCACTGGCATGAACAAACGTGTTTTTCCTCCAACAGTCTCGTCACAGCTTGCATGTCACTAGTAAAATATAGCAGGCCTTTGCAACAAAATCACACCTGCCTAGAAAATATGCACACGGATGCTTCAGGGATCACTGGTTGCTCTTCTTTTTCTCCGTCGTTTTTTCTCAGAACTTGCAGGTGTTGGAGTCTTTTGCCCCTCTTCTTTCACTGTGGGCACAGGCTGTTTGAAAACGATTTCATCATCCTTATCGTCGTTGACTTCAGCCACCTGTGATTGTCGTCTTTCCAAAAACGTTGGTGTACAAACTGGTGTGGGACCCTGAAACCAAAAAGAACATTACAGTCCAGGATTGAGCACAGGCATTAGGAACTACCACCCAACATCATTACTCTCCCAGCTTCATCAGGAATGACCACCGAACATCACTACCCTCCTAGTTTAAGTTGTACCATGTGATATATTTTCAGCCTGTTTTTAACTCCTGGTGACCTAAGTGAAGACAGTGAAGAGTTTAGAAGCTTAGCAAACTATGCAAATTCACTGACTAGAGATGCTTTATTATGGTAAGATAGTAGATAAAAAAAATTTAAGTCACTACTTAGGGATCTACCAAAATGTCACAACATTCAATCTAGTATATAGCCAAATTAATGGTTTATGTTTGTAACCTCAGCTTTCAGGAGCAGAGGCAGAGGGAGGAAGATCAGAAGTTAGGTTAGCCTGGCCACATTATGAGTTGGAGGTCAACCTGGACTACATGAAATCCTGTGTCAAACCTCCTTCAAATTATATCTCCAGCACTGATTCCCAGAACACAAGAACAAGCTCACCTGGCTGTCCACAGACTTCTTCTTATCCCTATTCCTTTTAGGCTTCTTCGGAATGTTTTTGGTAATTTTTTTCTTCAACGCTCTCGTAATCTTCTTCTCCTTTTTCCTAGATAGCCCTGAAAGCCTTTCTCTTGGGGTAGGTAAAACCTGAAAATAAAGGCTAGAAATTTAACAGTCTGCATATTTCTCAGCTACATGTATAGCTGTCTGCATATCTTTTAAATTGCCAAATAGTTCCCGTTAGCAGGGTAAGGCTTTGCTCTAACTAAGACATTATGGTGCATGCCATAAGCTCAGCCAGGATTACAACACACCCTGACCTCAAGTCTTGACTCAGCGCTCCTGTGACTGTTAAAATTGGGACTGAGTGCTGGGCCATGGTGGCTCATGCCTTTAATACCAGCACCCAGGAGGCAGAGGCAGGAGAGCTCTGTGAGCTGGAGGCAAGCCTGATCTATAGATCAGGTTCTAGGACAGCCAACGTTACTCAGAGAAATGCTATCTTGAAAAACAAAACAAGATTGGGACTGAGGGACTGGGGAGATGGTTCAGTGGTTAATAGCACTGTCTGTTCTTCCAAAGGACCCAGGTTCAATTCCCAGCACACACATGGCAGCTCACAACTGTCTGTAATTCCAGTTCCAGGGGATCTGACACCTTCACACTTACATACATACATACACGCAGAGAGAACACCAATATACATAAAACACAAATAAATTATCAAAAAAAGATTGGGCAAAGAGGTTAAAAGATAGCCAAAGTCTGAGGAAGATCTAATAAGCCTGGAAATAGATGCCATCTCTCACTAACTAATTAGTGTTTTGGAAAAATGCTGACAGGTTCTATGGAAGATAAACATTCTCAAGATTCAGCCAAGGAAGAGGTAAAACCTTCAGCAACCCCTATATTCTTGTTTTATAGTGAAAGACAGCTGGCATTAGTTATTGTAGCAGAGGGGAAAGTCCCAGCAAGGCTTCCTTATCTCATTTCCTGACTAGCAAGGGACTTAGCACTGGAGAAATGCCTCTGCTAATTCACTTCTTGTTCCTAGGGTTGCTATAGTCTAATGTACACACACCCATAATCACAGAACTGCTCACCTGACTCACGCTGACATTTATTTTTACAAATGAAATATTTGTTTAAAAGAATATGAAGCAAAATCTTAACTAAAATGACAAAATAACGAAGATCAAGAGGCTGGAGACAAGCTCAGTACTGGCTGAGGACCTAGGCTCAATTTCCAGCACCCACACAGCTAACAACTGTGTATTCAAGCCTGCCGAGGTCAGAGGGGCACTGGGTGCCCTACTTCATCGAAGTTTTATTTTCCTACGACAGTCTCTCAAACATGAAGCTAGGTTGGTGGCCAGCAACTGTCACATGTCCATGTCCCTCCTCTTCCCAGAGTGGAAGGCATGAATATGAACATACATCAGTCCTGGCATGTGGATAATAAGATCTGAACTCAGGTCCTTATATTTGCACAGCAAGTGTTCTTTCTCACTGGCCCAGCTCTCTATCCGGTTTTAAGCTTTTAAAAACGAGCAGTGCAAGGGCCCAGCTATTACAGACCCAGCACTAAGGAAGGCACGAGGATGAGAAGTCTTCAGAAAACAGTAAGTTTGGGCTTAGTATGTAAAATGGAGGCTCACTTGAGTGCTGCAGCATGGTCTGGAGTTACTGCTAATCGCTTGTCCCCAGAGATCTTTCCTGTTCTGCCAGCAAGCAAATGTTTAGTACATCAACTGATACTGTGTAACCTTGCCTCCAAAATAATCCCTGACTGGCCAATAAAAATGCCTACACTTGGGTTGGGAGAAGAAAGGTAGGAGGATTTAGCTCTCCAGCTTAAAGACAGAAGGATCACTGGGGGAAGAAGAGGTGAGAGTGGAGTCACCACAGGTTAAGCATGTGGCCAGGAGGAGCTTGCTCTGCCTGAGGAACAGCCCCATTTGGAACATGTATAAGTATTTATGGGTTTTGGCTGAGATTAGAAAAGTTAGCTTAGGGGGTTAGTTTCAGGGCAGTTCTAGTATACAGGCATATTAAAAATCTAACAGATTTCTGTGTCATTTACTTTTATAATAGCAGGTTAAATAATAAAACACCACCATAGTTCCATGTATTAATAGTAAATATTAATAGCATTCTACAACACTTGGGACACGTTAAAATCACTAGGTCTCAGCCCCACAGCGATGATACATGCCTTTAATCCCAGCACGTGGGAGGCAGAGGCAGGAGGATCTCTGAGTTTGAGACCAGCCTGGTCTGGTAAGTTCCAGGACAGCCAGGGCTACACAGAGAAACCCTGTCTCCAAGTGGTGGTGGGGGACACCAGGTCTCAAAAAAATCTAATGAACCCCCAAACACCTACCCCTACCAAATGAAATCTTTAACAAAAACATGAAGTAGCAGAAATTATTTTTTTCAGATAATCTGCCTTAAAAATTGTTTTTGGATTACTGTGTATGTATGCATGTGTGTGTGTGTGTATATGTGTGGAGGTCAGAGGGTAACTTTTAGGAGTCAGCTCTTTCCTTCAACCATGTAGAACCCAGGGATTGAACTAGGTAGCCATGCTTAGTGGCAAGTGTTTCATTCCAAGCCATCTTGCCAACACTATGGAAAGAGTTTCTATAGTAACTAACTGGTGGCCATTATTGAGATCATCTTACCTGGTTAAGCTCTGAGTCCTCAGGATCCTCAGGAGTGTCAGGAATGTCTTCTGAAATCTCTTTCTTCGGCTTAGGTAAGACCTGTAAATAAGCAAGTATTAAAAAGTTAACAATGTGCAAATTTGTCAGCTATATGAATAGCTGCAGCTGAATGCCTATCTTTTTAAGGCCAGCCTGGTCTACAAAGAAAGTTCCAAGACAGCCAGGGCTGCAACACAGAAAAACCGTATCTCAAACAAACAAACCCCCAACCAAAACTGGAGACTAGAGAGATCGCTCAATAATTAAAAGCACTGGCTATTCTTTCGTAAGAACCAGGTTCAATTACCAGCACCCAAATGGTAGCTTACAACTTTATGTCAACTTTAGTTTTAGAAGCTCCAATGTCCTCTTCTAGCCTCCAAGGGAAACTGGTGTCCACTGCTGGGCACCTGGTGCACAAACAGGAAATTATACAGGGGAAAGAGCTGGCAGGGGGATGGGGATGTCGTTCATATAAAGCAGCACACCTAAAGCCCTGGGCTATACTTCCAGTACCGCACAAACCTGGAATCATTACATATACTCGCAATCCCAGCACTCTGGAAGCAGAGGCAGAAGACCAGAAATTCTATGTCATTCTCAGCTGCATAAAAGTTTGATGTCAGCTTTGAACAACACCCAGTCTTACCAACATCGATAACAGTAGCAACCACTTATATTGGGCTATCTGTCTACTCAGGAGCTTGAGGCAGAGGCAGGAGGATCCATAATAAAGGCTTGACTGAGCAGTTACAGACTGTGTTCAAACCAGCCCACATAACTCAATAGATCTCTCTAAAGGGGAACTGTGTGTGGGGGTTGGAGGAATGAATGATGCATGTTCAGTACCCTGGGTTCCATCCTCACAGAAACACACACACACACACACACACACACACACACACACACACACACGCGCGCGCGCACACACACACACTGAAGTGCTTCAAAGTTTTAGTGAAAACCTTACAGAGAACTAGAATGTGCAAGTGCTCAGCAATATGTCAACACTTGCCTAGCATGGGCAGGCTCTAGCCTGGCCACCAATCAACCAAAGAGCCACAAGCACAAACCAAACCAAAAACCTCACATGTGAGGAGCACTGGAATAATCTTTATAATACAGACACGTGCTAGAACTACTGAGCAGACACCAAGAAAATCAGAAAAGGATATTTACCAATGAAGGAAAAGTATAATCAATCCCCTTCTTAGCTAGCCTCTTCCGGAGTAAATTTTCCTTCCTCTTAAATCTATATTCCATCTTTAACATTTGGAAACGTCCCCGTTTTTGATTGTAGCGCTTCACTGCTGGAAATGATGGCTGACGAAATGGAACATTCCACTCTTTAAAAAGTTCTTTATGAACTTTTTCTGGTGGTATAAATTTACCTATATATATAAAAACACAAAAACAGAAAGTAAAGGATCTTAATTTTAATATTTCCAGAAGGGCATTTCTTGTATGCTATAAACTAAGTACATGACAGACAATTCTTTGTTTGTTTTTGTTTTTCGAGACAGTGTTTCTTTGTGTAGCCCTGGCTGTCCTGGACTCGTTTATGGACCAGGCTAGTCTCGAACTCACAGAGATTCACCTGCTTCTGCCTCCCTGAATGCTAAGATCACAGGCTTGAGCCACTGTGCCCTGTGAGAAATGACTTTTTAAAACTCAAACAGAGCATGTGTGTGGGCTCACATGCCCTGATGCCTGTGGAGGCCAGAGGACAGCTTTGTGAAGTTGTCTCTCTCCACAGTTATGTGGGTTCTGGGAATTGAACTCAGGCTGTCGTACTTTCACAGCAAGCACCTTTACCTGGTGAGCTACCGCTGTGCCCTCTGTTTTAAATACAGGATTTCATGTAGCCTAAGCTGGCACCACAAACCCTGTGTTGGCTAGAATGATCTTGAATTTTTGATCCTCCAACTTCCGCCTCCCCCACACAGTAAGTAAAGGCATGTGCCATCAGATGCAGTGTATGTGTCCCTAGGGATGGAATCCATAGCCATGTGCGTGTCAGGCCAGCACTCTACCAGCTAAGCTACACTCCCAGGCCCAGATACTCTCATCCTACCCCTGATGGGCTAATGCTTTGTAGCAACAGTAAACAAACAAACAATTCTTTGTAGAACCCAGAGCCCTTTCTACTATTTTCCTCAAACCAGAGAGAGCTAAGCACCAATTCTCCCAGGTTCTTGCCCATCTACTTTCTCCTAGCAGGAGCCACGCCTTCCACTGCACATGGGAACACCCAGCAGCCCACACCACCAGGAATGTTTCTCTTGGTGATGGGCACTGGCAGAAAATGTTGCCAGGAAGCCCTGTGATGCTGTCAACTGTTCTCAGGGCAGGGCACTCTACTGCCTGCCTGTGCCTGTAGGATGCTGGGATCAAAGGTGCGCACCGCCAGGCCTGGCTTTCAGCCAAGTCTCGGTTAATCAACCTATTAAGGAGGGGTTACTCCCATTCCTGAGCACAAACCCCACAAGTAACTCCTTAACCTCATTACAGAGAACAAACAGTCCTCTTGCTACAAGGTCAGAGTACTTACATGATAGAAGTCTTTCACCAAAAAGGTAGTTATCCATTGTTTCTGCAACTATCTTGGCAACATCTTCAGACTCAAACTCCAAAAAGGCATAGCCTCTGCTGTGTCCAGTCTGCAACAGGAAACACACAGTTAAATCTAACACGTCAACAAGCTCCACAAGCCTCTGTGGATGATTATGAGATACCAGTCACAACTCTCACCACTCTACACACGCTGGAACTGTTAAAACAACAAGACAGTCACAGCTTCGAATATACAGATCTTCTGGTATCCCTTAAATTCTACTTGCATGACACATGTGAGTACTCTGGCCACAATGAATTCAATTACACTGTCCGGTGGCAAGAAGCTATCTTTTGGGCTCCCACAGCCTTAGACTTGTCTACTCATTTGTCATCTCACAGCAGTTCTATTTGTCATGGAGGCAGATCATACACCAGCAAGGGCATTCCTCCCCACCCCCATTAAAACACGGCAGTCTGGGCACAGGTGTAATCCCAGTTACACAGGAGGCTGAGGCAGAAGGAGCTGTTGGATCTTATGAATCTAATGAGGCCAGCCTGGACCTTGTCTCAGTAAAACAGGACTGTATCCCAGTGCTTACCAGTTATGCCTCGGGTTCAGTCCCTAGTAGTAGGGAAATGTGGGCAGCTCAACCTCATCTCACGTGGTGAAAACAACCAATTCTTCAGTGTCATGATGCTCACCAAGAAACTGACACTGATTTCTGTAGCCTAGTCAAAGGAACATGCCAGGCCTTGAGTTCCTAATCCCTGGACCAGCCCACAAGTACATTTCCTTACCACATTAGTCTTACATGTACTACAGGTTCTGGAGTTCAAATGCCTACGCTTTGATCCTGGTGATGTCACTTGACTTTAATTAACATGTAAACCTCAGGTGTCATTCCATGGAATGAGGACGATAAAATAACCTCTCATCAGGTTGCTACGAAAATACCAATAACCCACAAAGCTCAAAAGATACCAAAAACTCAACGTTATTACCATTTGGCTTTCTTTTCAAAATAAATACCAGCAATTTAAAGTTAATTTCAGCTACACAGAGTAAGGCCTGCCTGAGCGTCAGCCAGTGAACATCTACTATCAGTACTCTTAACCCAAAAGTACTTCCACTCCAAGATGGTGGAGGGGAAGGGGGGTGGACCTACAACCCAAGAGACCACCACTTTTTTATTTGCCTGTTTCAACTGCTGTATCTGCTAACCTGGCCCTAGTCCTGGAGGCTTCTGTACAATCTAACCTAGGCCTAGTACATTTTCAGCCTCTGAGACTTAGTAAGAAGATCGCCCTTTCTTGTTCTTTCTGAGCTGGCTGGCTCAACTCAACTGTTCTGGCTCAAACTCCTCTCCCAGCTGACTGATTCAATCTGGCCTTTCTCTCAGCATCTGAATTGCTCTGCTTGGCCTCAAACTAACTCTAACAATCTTTTCTAATCTCCTTCTCTGGCTCATTCAATCTTCACGTGAGTTCTCTCTGTAACCCGTTTCTGTACTGTCCCTTAAGTAGCTTCCCTTTCCTCTCTCTTCTCATGAGAGTTGGGCACATCCTATTCTGTCAAACCTTTCTCTGATTCATCATCTTTTCTGCCATTAAAGTAGACATCACTTTCAAACATGGATGCTTCCTTCTACAAACTAACTTTACTCAAGTACCACCATGCCTGGATCTAAGCTTTTCTTCACCTGAAACTTGCTCTATACCAGGTTGGTCTTGAGCTCAGAGATCTGCTTGCCTGTTTCCTGGGATTAAAGGCCTGTGTCTGTATTCCAGCTGGATCACACAGACCTAGAACGTCTTTGGATGTGATCTCTTGTCAGAACAGCCATGTTCTTAATTAACATTCCTCTATACACTGTAAACTAACAAATCCTCTGAAAAATAATTTGAAAAGACACACCATACCAAAACAAGAAGCAGGGGGCAGTAAAGTGACTCACCAGACAAAGGCACCAACTACCAAATCTAATGACCCCAGTTGAACTCTAGGAGCTACATGGTGGAAGAAGCAAACAAACCACCTGATTTCTACATTCACCCCTGCCCCATTCAAATCAATAAAATTAAGAAAGGAAAGGGAGGGGGGGGGGGAAGCAAGCAAAAAGCCAAGGGCTGGGAATGTACTTCAGTTGATAAGAGTGCTTGCCTAACACAAAGACTTGGGTTCAAGCCACAGCACCACATAAACCAGGCAAAATCACAGTTATGAAGTGGCAACAAAATAATTTTATGGTTGGGGCCACCACAACATGAAGAACTGTATATAAGGGTTACAGCATTAGAAGGTTGAGAACCACTGCTCTAGGGGCTGGAGAGATTGTTCAGTGGTTAAGCGCACTGGACATGGGTTCAATTCCCAGCACTCACATGACGGCTCACAATCATTCGAAATTCCAGTTTCAGGAGCTCTGATGCCTCTCCCTTCTGAATTCTGTAAGCATGCATATGGTGCTCAGGCACAGGCAGGCAAGACACCCATACACACAAATAATAAAATAAAACTCTCTTTAAGCTGGGCATGGTGGTACATGCCTATCATCTTAGTATTTGGGAAGCAGAGGCAGGAGAGCAACAAGTCCAGGGTTAGCCTGGTCTATGGAGCAAGTCCGGGAAAGAAAGCCAGCGCTACATAGTAAATCTCTGTCTTAAACCAATCAAATGAAAACCAAACACTTTAATGTTTTAAGCTCTGGAACAAACTATGGACTCATTTCCCACTGTACCTTCACTGGCTGAACAGTGCCCAGAACAAACACTGTATCTCCTGGTAGCTGACAAAGAAACGCAGTCATGCATCAGAAATGAATTATTTCTTTGAGGGACCCAAAGATATAATGGGGGGGGGGGGAAGGGGCTTCAAGATCAAGTGAGGAGCAGCTATTCTACGAGACTATAGTGTCTACAAAATTTAGATGTCATGAAGGAGGCGATGACTCAGGCAGAGGAAGCGACTGCTGAGATTACCAGGAAGCTGGTGGAACTATAACAGAAACACTTGACAAAAGGAAAAGAAGCCACTGGCCATGCTGGCAGTGGGACCTACACCAGACTCAACAAAGCCACAAAGAAAGCCAAAGCCAGGAGCCTCTTCATGAAAATTGAACTCACCTTCTCCTTCCCTACACCCAAACGAAAGAATGCTTTTCTTTCAAGGAGCTGGTTAGTAACCTTGCAGAGATGAAAGAGGGAGAAGTGCTCAGGGAATCAGGAGAGTCAGCCAGGAGGAAGGCTCCCAAAAGGAGGAGATCCTCTTCTGGGAGGAATCAGTTGGCAATAGGCTGGTGGTACCAAGAGCAGGGCCAAGAACAGACATTCCCCATAGGGAGGAATATGTCACAAGAGGACACTTCCCAACCCGCGACCCAAACCTCAGTAAAAGCAAATTTACACACACACACACCACACCACACCAAAACAAACAGCAACAAAATACAGGGCATCTACCAGAGGAGAAGCCTATCTTTTCTTCTTACATAAACCAAATTGAAGTTCATTAACCACAGAATTAGCAGTGACAAAATAAATATGGCCTACGTGCCCATGTAATCTGAAGCCTGGCAACAATTACTTCAGTTAAATGAACATTTATAATACTGATTCTGCTCTAGGGCTAGGTTGTCTTAAATTCTATTCCTTACTACCCGCTTCTCCTGAGTGAAGCCTTATAAGCAATGTGTGACCATGCCCTGTAAACCCACCCACCCCATGTACTTATGAGCTCCCTGATAGGTAGGAATGCCTTCTAACAAACCACAAACTGACTTAAATTTTAGTGCAAGTGTACACACCACCTGGAGGTCACCCTTGGATGCTGTTCCTCAAGATGCCTACCTTGTTCTGTTCGGGAACAAGCAGAGGCGGAAGGATGCCGTGTCTTCTTTTATGTATGGCTCTATACCTTAATATCTCGACCTGCTGTTTTGGCTTAACTGGCTGACAGCAAGCTCTGTAATCACTGCCTCTGGCTCCCATTACTGGGGCTACAGATACAGTTATGACTGACTGGCTTTTTATTCCATGCTTGAGGTAAAGGTGTGTGTGTTCTAAATCATGCTTACAGCTCTTACCATTAAGCCATTTCCTTAGCCCCTAACAACCCTGAATTTTGAAACAAGTTTCTCACTGGCCTGGAGCTGGGCTAGGCTGGCTGATCAGCCAGTCTCGGCGATCCCCCTTTCCCACCTCCCTAGCACTGGGATTACAAGTGTATATGACCATACTTGGCTTTTGAGCTGCGTTTCATAGACTGACAGTTACAGACTAAGCTACCCAACTTCCACCCTCACGCACGACTTCTTCCCTTTCTTTTTAGAGACACAATTCCACACTATGCAGCTATGGCTGGCCTCAAACTCAGAGGTCTGCCTGTCTGTTGCCCAAGTGCCAGGACTAAAGGTGTAGACCACTAAACCAGGCTTATTTTGACTCCACTGCAACCTGCAAAAGTTAATTTATTTATACTTATTTACCTAGAGACAGGCTCTCTCTATGTAGCTATGGCTGTCCTAGAACTGATGATGTAGACCAGGCTGGCTTCAGAAAGACCTGCCTGCCTCTGCTTCCTCGGTGCTGGGATTAAAAGCATGCCCCACCACACCTGGCTTGTGAAAAGTTCCTGAGTGAGAAATCTGTAGGTAACAATACTGTGTGGCTATGATTACAAAGGATGGCATACAACTGAAAAAACAAACAAACAAACAAACAGAAAACCAGAATATACATAGTTGAATTTAGATACAGAATCTTACCCGTTTACTTCTGGACAATCTGAATCTGGTAATAGTGCCAAACTGGGAAAAGTAGTCATGGATATGGCTTTCAGAAAGTGTTCCTGGTAGGTGGCCCAGAAAAATTACTCCAGGATTAAGTTCATCTTCCTTCTTTCGCTGAGGACAAAAACAACAAACAAACATTTAAAAAATGCAAACACATACTGTACCAAAACTTGTGTGTGTGTCTACACTTTTCTGAGCAGGGTCTTACTAAGGTGCTCTGGCTGGCCTGTAACTCACTATGTAGATGAGGCTGTCCTCTAACTCCTGAATGTGAGGATCAACAGGCTGCATCACAACGCTCTGCAAGGGTCTCCACTTTTCAGTATGCTACCATTCGGTAACTTCAGAGAATACTAATTCTAAAGTCCTTTTTCTTTCTTTATTTTTTCTTTGTTTTGGGACAAAAACTTTGTGTAGCCCTAGCTGTCCCCAGCTCTGAGGACCAGGCTGGCCTTGAACTCAAGAGATCTACCTGCTTCTTCCTGAGAATAAGGTCACTCACCATCCACCACCCAGCTTTCTACAGTCTTTTTAGATAGGCAGAACTCTGCCTGTCTCTGCACCAGGATTGAAAGTAAACATAACCTCGACTGGCTTGCAACAGAACTTTGAAAATAGACGGACTCTGCAAGAGAGACTCCCAGAGTTGTTCTCTGACCTACACATGCCCACATGCCCTCACCTGTGTATCCCTCAGCACAGCATGTGTTCCAAGAGCTGGCTGTATTCTCAATCAATGGACAAGCAAGGAAAGGCCTGCCATTGTCACTTTGAACCCGAGACCTTCGACTCTGAATGTAGTTCATTCGCATCTAATCATACTATTTGTAGTAGTATACAGACTGTACTTCTCTGTCACAACACTCAATCCTACAAATATGTTGCTCTATCAGTAGGGGGAACTATGCAGGTGATACCAGCATTCATGAAATAGATATAGGGCTTCAAGGTCTGGGCTGCACATCAAGTTTGAGGCTAACTTGGGCTACAATAGACTCAGTACTACCACTAAAAAGCAAAACCCCAAACAACAACAACAACAACAAAACAAACAAAGAACCCTTCGGTTCTCCTCAATGCACTTCATGTTAAAAGCCAAAGGGAAGCCGGGCGAGGTGCGCCCGTCTGCAATCCCAGCACTAGTGGAGGAAGAGACAGGCGGATCACTGGTGAGTTTGAGGCCAGCCTGGTCTACAAAGCGAGTCCAGGACAGCCAAGGCTACACAGACAAACCCTGTCTCTAAAAACAAAAACCCAAAGGAGTATAAAGACCACCGTTGGCAAATAGCTTGACAGGTAATGTCTGTATTTTCTTTGGCTGATCTCTGATCTGAATACTTAGTCCAAGCTATTTTCTGACTCTCAGTTCTCCTGCTTCCCCCTTCCAGGTGCTGGGTTTTCGGATCCGTCTTCAAAGCACTCCGATGTAAGGGGACATACTTACTTAACGAATGCTGCGGTAGGCCACGAATCCTCATTTTTGCGGGTGGAAGCAGAAGGGTGGCAGTTTTAACATAGTCTGAGATTGGGAGGTGCCGTGCTCTCACACGTGGTAACCCTCCTTTTCACGTGAGTCCTGAGGGCCTAAAGGGCCAACTCTCACACCGATTCCTGCCCTGCCTCCGTCTCCTTCCGGACTTGAACCACAGTCTCCAAGCCCGGGAGAGGTCGGCTCCCGGTTCCGCCCGGCCACCCCGCCGCTCACCTTTTTCGCGCGCTGTTGCACCTGCGTCAGAGTCTTTTGAAATTTTAAGTCATCCAGCGGGTTTAGCGCCAGACTGGGCTTCGCGGGGCCGGCAAAAGCCGCCATGCTGGAGAACGCCGCACAAGGTAGCCCACGCGGAGCTTCCGGAAGTGACGCTGCCATCGCCTCGCGGAAGCGGAAGTAGACAATGGCAAAAGCGTAGCAAAACAGGCTACCAGAGAATCTGGTGTTGTTGCTCAAGCGCCACCAACTGGCAAGAAGCTGAAAAAACTTTCTCAAGTGGAATGAAAATAAACCCTAGAGCGGATTTAGCTCAGTTAATGAAGTGCTTGCTCAACTTGCACGAAGTCCTGGGTTTGAAACCCTACACCGCATAAACCGTGACTTAGAGCCCCACTGTAATTCCAACACTTGGAAGGTGGGGGTGAGGCAGGAGGATCAGGAGTTCAAAGCGATTCCCAAATAGATAGTGAGTTCGGAGACAGCCTGGCTCAAAAACAAACGCAGTCCCAAATATTACACCTCCGTATCGGCTATTCACAGCAGTTTAAAAGTTTTGTAAACTTTGTATATACTTTGTAAGCCCTCACAGCAGGAAATTAGCCAGGCCCCCACCTGAGGTACTCCACAGTGCCCACCCGCCTCCCAAGACCTCCCTAACCCTAATAGCCGTTTTCTTTTTAAGATTTATTATGTATGTAGTATCTTTAAGATTTATTATGCATACAGTGTTCCACCTGCATGTATGCATGCCAGAGGCGGGCACCAGATCTCATTATAGATGATTATGAGTAACCACATTGTTGCTGGGAATTGAACTCAGGACCTCTAGGAAGAACAGCCAATGCTCTTAACTTCTGAGTCATCTCTCCAGCCCCAAAGTAAGAATCATTTTCTAAGGGTTGTGATGTTCATTCCCAGCTTCTAGGTGGGAGAGTGGAACAGCCCCACCCTATGAGAAAACAAATTCCCGGCTTTGATACCTCGATCAGTAGAGTCTTTCAGAGGTCTTCTGTGGTAGGCTCCTGTCCTGTTCCCTGTCTTCTCCTGCTTCCGATGTCTATTGCGTTTGTACTTGTGAGTGAAAACTGAGCATCTTCCCTAGGGTATTTCTTGTTGTTTAGCTTCTTTAGGAGTTTAGAGTTTAGTACGTTTATCCTATATTATATGGCTAATATCCACTTATGAGTGAGTATATACCATGTGTGTCTTTCTGCTTCTGGTTTACCTCTCTCAAGATGATCTTTTCTAGTTCCCACCATTTGCCTGCAAATTTCATGATTTCCTTGTTTTTAATAGCTGAGTAGTATTCCATCTTCCTCCATTGAGGGACATCTAGGATGTTTCCAGCCTCTGGCTATTATGAATAAAGCTGCTACAAACATAGTTGAGCAAGTGTCCTTGTTGTATAGTTGAAGATATTTTGGATATATGCCTAGGAGTGGTATAGCTGGATCTTGAGGTAGCATTATTCCTAATTTTCTGAAGCTGAGATTCATAGCCAAACTTTGGGCAGAGTGCAGGGAATCTTATGAAAGGAGGGGGAGACAGAAAGACCTGGAGGGACAGGAATGCCAAAAGGAGACCAACAGAGCCATAAAAACTGAGCCCTGGGGTCCCTGAAGGGAATGATACCTCAACCAAGAACAATGCAAGGAGAGGTCCTAAAACTCAGGCTCAGATGTAGCCCATAGACTCAGTCTCCAAGTGGGGTCCCTAGTAAGGGGGGCAGGGACTTTCTCTGTCATGAACTCAGTGGCAGGCTCTCTGATCATCTCCCCCTGGGTTGGGGGGGGGGTACGGCCTTGCCAGGCCACAGGAAGACAGTGCAACCAGTCCTGATGAGACCTGATAGGCTAGGGTCAAATAGAAGGGAAGATGACCTCCTCTATCAGTGGACTAAGGGAGGGTCATAAGGGGAGAAAAGGGAGGGATGGAGAGGGAGGGATTAGTAGGAGAAAAGGGAGGGGAGGGAAGGTGGGATTGGGAGGAGACAAAGGAGGGGGCTACAGCCGGGATACAAATTGAATAAACTGTAATAAATGATAATAATAAAAAAATAAATAGAAAGAAAACAAATCCCACCAGTCCCTAAGCTCCCCCAACCTCAGGACTTGAAATCCCATCAATCCTCACTCACCATGGAAATTTCCACCCCTCAAAAGATCTATAACCCTGCTTTCCCCCCCCCCCCCAGTTCCCAGTCCCCACTCCCAGTTCTCTGCTGTTTCTCACCCGAGCAGAGGCAGCCATCCTTCTGGAGTTTTCCCTTCCAATCTCTTGTGTGAGGTTTTTGTGTATGTGTGTGTGCTGTGTGGTTTTGTGGTTTTCCTAGGTTCCTGACTGCCAGGGTACCTTTCCCTTCAGAGCTTCAATACTTACAGTGCCCTTGCTATATTGCTAACTGTTCCTTCCTGCATGAGCCTAACCCCAAACTCATCTGTGGTTTTTTTCTTTGCCATCCTTCTGTTTTATTTAACTTGAGACAGAGTCTCACCATATTGGTCAGCCTGGGGTCCAACTCCTGAGATCAAGAGAGCCTCTTGCCTTGGCCTCTGATTAGCTAGCACCACATATGTTAAGTGGTGCCAAAGTATTAAGTAGTGGCTCAAAGAGATTTGGGGGACTTATTTTATTATATTGAGACAGAGTTTCTCTGTGTAGCCTTGGTTGTCCTGTAACTCACTCTGCGGACCAGACTGGCCTTGAACTCAGAGATTCACCTACCTCTGCCTCCCAAGTGCTGGGATTAAGGGCATGAGTCACCATGCCCACTGTTTTGACTTAAGGGTACCTGAAAAAACAGCAAGTGCAAGACCATTCTGATCTCTCTCCTGTTTCCTTTTAAAGTTAGTATACATCTGGGGAGATGGTTCAGTGGCTAAGAGCACTGGCTGTTCTTCCAGAGGTCCTGAGTTCAATTCCCAGCACCCACGTGGCAGCTCACAGGCAATTTGACACTTTCTTCCTTCTGACACACACATATTTACACACAATCCCCCCCCACACACATATATATATATGCACCGAGGAAAAATCAAATCTTTAAAGCCAGAATTACAAAGTAACGGGGTTCTTTATGGCATTTTCATACAGCTGTCACTTTGCCCTAAACCATCTCCTTCCTCCTGCCCTTCTGTCTGAGTGTGTGCAGGTGCCTATGCATGCTTGTGTAGAGGCCAGAGGACAGTGTCGGCCGTGGTTTCTCTGTCACTTGTTTTCTTGAGACAGGTCTGGCTGGGAACTTCCTGGGTCAGCTGCACTGGCTGGTCACTTTGTTTCAGCGAGCTGCCTGTCCTCCTCCCCCAGCACTGGGAAAGGGCTACTATGTCCGGCTTCCAGCTCGGGTATCTGTAGCCGCATGTGGAGAGAGAGAGAGAGAGAGAGAGAGAGAAAGAGGGGAGGAGGAGGAGAGGAGAGGCTTCCTGCGCTTTTCTATAAGCAGGAAACCAACCACCTTTCTAAAACCAAGGGCAGAAAGTCAGAGGGAAGGAAGCATGTGCTGACCCTGTGGACCAGGCCCTACTTCCCATAGCTCCGTAGTCCAAGCCCCTCAGCTTGTCACACTTAAATAATGTTTAAGTATGTTAATAATGTTTCAGGCCCCCCACCTGGGTGCTGAAAGTAGAATTCCAGCCCTCTGGAAGAGCAGCAAGTGCTCTCTCCAGCTCCACTGTTCATGGTTTTTGTTTGTTTGTTTTGTTACTGTTTTGGGACAGGGTTTCTCTGTGTAGATTTGTATACCAGGCTGGTCTCAAACTCACAGAGATCCACTTCTGACTCTCTCTGATTGCTGGGATTAAAGGAGTGCACCACCATGCCTGGCTCACTGTTTATGTTTTTAATAGCAGATATAAAGTTATCATAATGGGCTTTATTATGACACTTACATACATGTACATATGTATTTGATCATATTCATGCCCATTATCTTTTCTTTCCCCTCCCACTCCTGCCGATCCCCTTCCTCTTCCCAACTAGCTCACCTTCCAATTGTGTGTGTGTGTGAGTGTAGGTGTGTGTGTGAGGTCTTAAGTTTGTTTTTAAATCCTGCATTACAGTCACTTACTTACTGTGGGGAAGTGGTGTGTGCCACAGTGCTCGTGTAGAAGTCAGAGGACAACTTGCTGGAGTCAGTTCTTTCCTTCTGCCATGTAGGCTCTGAGAACCAAAATCAGGTTGTCGGGCTTTGTGGCAGTTACTTTTACCTGGTGAGTCATCTCGATGGCCCCTATACTTAAGTTTTTCATGAGCTTCTGCTATTTTTCACAGCAACCTGTTTTTATTCTCACCACCCCTGTATAAGCATTCCTATTTCTCCACATTTTCATCAAGTCTCTCTCTCTGTGTGTCTCTGATGTGTGTGTGTGTTTGTGTGTGAGTGTATGTCTCTGTGTGGGGATGTTCACAGTGTCTATCACAGTGAGTGAAATGTGCTATCTGGTATTTTGGATTGCATTTCTTTTTGTGTTTGTGTCTCTGTGTGGGAGTGTGTGTATATTCACACTGACCATCCCAGTGGGTGTGACGTGGCATCCGGTAACATTTTCCTTTGTGTATATGTGTGGGCTCACGGTGGGAGTAAAGTGGTTTCTGGTAGCTTGGGGTGCATTTCTATGGTGGTTAGGGATATTATTCAGGTTTCTCACACGTGTAGGGGCTGTTTGTATGTTTTTTGAGAAATGTCTATTCAAGGGAGCGGAGAGAAGTTAAGATAGTGTACTGCTCTTTCAGAGGACCAGAATTTGATTCCTGATACGCAAATCAGGTGGCTTACAACTAACAGCCTGTAACTCCAATAGCCTCCGACTGTGCCTTCACTCCTATGCATACACCCACACACACGAAATTAAAAAACAAAAATAAATAAATCTTTTTGTTTGTTTGTTTGTTTGAGACAGGATATAAACTATGTATTTTGGTTGTCCTGGAATACGCTATATAGACCAGGCTGGCCTTGAACTCACAGAGATTTGCCTGCCTCTGCCTTCTTAGTGCTGGGATTAAAGGCTTGCACCACCATACATGGCTGAAACTAAATAAATCTTTAAAAAGAAATCTTTATTCAACTCCTTTGTCTTTGCTCATGACTACAACACAATGCTAAATATAAGACTTGAAACTACCAAAATCTCAGAGGAAGATG